CAACTAAAGTATCTCCCGGTTGATCGCTGAGTAGGCTTCACACCGCCTTCCTAAATGCATCGCTGCAAAGGTGGGGTTGACGGGTGAGAGGGTGTACTGGCCTCACCACCTTCCTAAATGTATCGCTGCAATGGCGAGGCTGAGAAACACTCTCAGCAGGCAAGCTGAGAAGCACTCTCAGCAAGCAAAGTGGCCCACATGCAGCCCAAAAATTGCCTCCCATCATTGACTCCTTGTGAAGAACAAAGAGATGACGGGAAGAATTTTGCAGGAAAAAACTTCGCTGCTGGCCAGAAAATATTTCCTATACCTCCCATACCAAAGGTGACATCAAGGTAAATATAAGGCAGACGGACTAGACAGCCCATTTTTGGATCTGGTTGATCGTCAGAATGCCAAGAAATAGCAGCAAATTGGTTTCGAAGAAGAAAATGAAAAGATGAAGATAGAGGATAAAAAATGCGAAACATTTATAGAGGGGTGAAGATGAAGAGACAGAATACGAACAGCCACATTTCTGTCTAATAGACGGAATTAAATGACCCTAAGTCTTGGGAACAGTAGTGGGAATATCAAAAGGGAATGGACAAGATTCTTAGTGCAAAGCAGTTAAGTGATTAAAGAATTGATGATTAGAAAATAAACGTCAAATAAATGCACAAGAAGTTAATATTCGTTAATAATGAACAAAAATTACAAAAGAGAAAAAAACATCGTATGTCTTAATTACAGTCTACCCCATAAGGAACGAATTCGTTCCCTAAGTTTTTCCCAATCCTCGTTTTGCCGGGAGGAAGTGATGTTCAATTCAGCTGCAACGTCATCATCATCAACCTCCAACTTCTTGTACTGTTCGACCAAGGATTTAGCTCGCTCAATTCCCTGAGAGGCGTTGCGCTTTTTGGCAGCCATCCTCGCCCTGCAATCGTCCATTTTGGCCTGTAGTTCCCTCATCTGAGCAGCCAAGTTAACCATCAAAGAGTCTTCAATCATGACTTCGGAAGAGATTTCTTTCAACTCGTCCTTAGCCTTGTTGATCTCCATGCGTAAAGACTCTTTCTCAGCTACAACTCGAAGATATTGAGTACGCTTGGCTTTTAGTTCAGCATTCTTGGCCAGCATAGAAAGGACCTCGGAGTGAATGACTTTCAATGTCGCTTTAAAGTCGGCAGAAAGACTGAGCGACGGAAGCGTCAGTGCTTGCTCTAACTTCGCACTCAAGTGCTCAAGTTCATCCTTATGTCTGGCAGCACTAGCCCTTCCAATGTCCATATCCACGAAGGATACGTACTCAAATACCAACTCCTTCAAGAACTTTAAGTCCTCTTCTGAAGAAGCAGCAGGACGATCAGATGGAGCAGGGCGAGGCATTTGGTCCTGCCCCCAGGAAGCGAACAAATCCTGGATAGAACGCACAATCCTGTCAGCGTCCTGCAAAGAAGATTGCCAATATTAAAAATCCTCACTACAACGAACAAGGGGGAAATAGAAATGAAGCAAAAAGAAAAACTACCTCGTCGACAATTGTAGAAGATGGCGCACCCTCAGCCAAACTTGCCACCAACGACTCATCCATTCGTGAGGACTTCCCCTTGTCCGAGCGAGACGATGTTGCCACAACGGGCGGACTCATAGGAGTATCTGCAAAGTTCAAGAACAACAAATCAGAAACTAATGGCGCTAGCAAAGGTAAGACATCAAAAACTGAATTACCTTCTGCTTCGATGATTGGGGGGTCGACACCCTGGGAAGAAGGTGGCTCATCCATGGGTTGTGATGAAGACTCTGGGACTGGAGATGTATTTTTAAGCATGGTCCCATAACCAACCGGTTTGGATGAAGTAGCCTCAGCAGAGGATGATGGAGTAAGAGTTGTCGATGTCAAAGCCTTCGAAGGGGAGGCTGAACTTTTCTGAAAAGTCCAAAATATCATCAGTACACAGAAAAGTATCAAATGGGGAAAAGCATACTTGTAAATAGACCGATTTGATTACCTTCCTCCTGACGATAAGAGGGGCATCATCATCATCATCATCAACATCATCCTCCAGAATGGGAGATGCTGAGGCTGACCGTTTGCGGCTTGGAGCACTCTTGGCCGTAGTAGGCCTGGCGGGGAGAGAAGAAGATGGACGAGCAGCTTGTTTAGCACGACGAGAAGGAGAGGGGCTCCGAATAGACAAAGAAGTGACCAAAATAGGAGGAGGAGAAGAAATACTTGGTTGGTCTAATGAATGAAAGGCACGATTGGCCTCAGTCGCAAATAATCTGCGCTTCACCGATGGCCAGAGTTGTTCAAAAAGAGGGTGAGTAGCATGACAAGAATTAAAAGGGGCTAATGAAAAGTGGCTTGATAAATGGAGGTTGCGAACGTTTATAGCCTCTGCTTCCGCCTTATTAATGGTATGAAAATGGTCAATTAAGCTCTTCGAATAGCAAAGAGGAACAGGCCAAGTTTGGCCAAAACCAAGCTGACGAGCAAAAAATTGGGGAGCATAAATTTCTACCCCCGCTTTGGCATTGGTCCCAGTTAAGATATCATGGAAAAGCTCCCTCCCAGTTAAAAACTAAATCCAAATGAGCAGGGAGGTGCTCGCGCTATCTATAGCGGAAGAGGGATGTACATAGTTTGGAGTCAAAAAAGGAGGGAAAGGAAAGAAGGAAGAAATTGAATCTAAAGAATAAAAGAATGAAAAAATGTCCCTTCTGGACATATTTACAGGAGTTAAGGGCTCCATGGCTAGCCCGTAACAGCTAGCAGAAGGACGAGAAATAGATGGAGCACCAAGCGATGGAAAATAGGATCTCAACCACAGTTGAGTAAACCAAAGAGGTCCACTGCCAGTGGGAGATGCACCATTCTTCAATTGAGCTTGAAGAAAAGTCATACCTCTATAAAGGGCAGCCAAAAACAAAGAACATAAATTCAAAGGCCTGCCACGCGCCAATTCGTGCGCTATAGGTAAATAACTCAGAGAAGGCTTTATACTTGGCACACACAAAACATATTTACAAAGCCAAACTAAAAGAAAGACCACTCACTCAGCATGGGTAGGCTCAGCGCTCGAATGATTATGGAGG